TATTTATTTTCCAAATAAAAGAGGTTGGGGAATATTATCCAGCCTTAAAAAGGAATGAAATTCTGGTCCATTCTACAATGCAGGTGAACCTTGGAAACATTATGCTAGGTGAAATAAGCCAGACTCAAAAGAACAATTATTGTATGATTCCACTTATGTGAGGTACCCAGAGTAGTCAAATTTGTAGAGACAGAAAGTAGAATGGTGGTTAGTGAGGTTGGAGGGAGAGGAGAGTGGGGAGTTATTGTTTAATGGATCCAGAGTATCAGTTTGAGATGAGGAGTAAGTTCTGGAGATGGATAGTGGTGACGGCTGCATAGCAAAGGGAATGTACTTAATGCTCGTGAATTATACACTTGAAAATGGTTAAAAGAGTAAATTTTATGTTATCTGTATTTTACTACAATTTTTAAAGAGTAAAAAAATAAAATTATAGGTTTGAAAAATGCACATTTTATCTTTTAAAATTTTATTTCAGAGAGCGTGCATGTGCGTGCAAGAGAAAGCAGAGAGAGCATGAGCTGGGGTGGGGGAAGGGCAGAGGGAGAGGGAGAAGCGGATTCCCCACTGAGCAGGGAGCCTGAAGCAGGGCTTGAATCCAGGACCCTGGGATCATGACCTGAGCTGAAGGCAGACGCTTAACCGATTGAGCCACCCAGGTGTCCCAAAAATGCACATTTTAAAAACTGTTGATATTTATCATCTACTTAATGAGGGCATAATAAATATTTGTTGATTGAATGGAAAAAATGAGGTTGGGGGAAGGGCATGAAAAAGTAGGTTGAAAGAAGGGCACAAGCTATTTGTCTTGAAGTTGATTTTTTACAGGAATCACACTGGGTTTTTTGTTTTTTTTTAAAGATTTTATTTATTTATTTGAGAGAGAGAGAATGAGAGAGAGCACATGAGAGGGGGGAGAGTCAGAGGGAGAAGCAGACTCCCCGCTGAGCAGGGAGCCTGACGCGGGACTCGATCCCAGGACTCCAGGATCATGACCTGAGCCGAAGGCAGTCGCTTAACCAACTGAGCCACCCAGGCACCCCCACACTGGGTTTTAATACTTAGATTGTATGTTCATATGCAGTGGTTTGGGTGTGGGGGGAGGGGCTTATGAGAGCCTAAGGCCCCCATCCAAGCCAGCCCTTGGCCATCATTATTCTCTAATAGACTATAAATTCCTTGAGAGCAGGATACACATTTTTTTTCCATCTTCTCATGACACACAGTGGGAGTTCTGTTGGTTAATTGATTGATATTCATTCCATTGGAGATAAACATGTTTAAAAGGATTTTCTTCCACCCAAATTCATCTGTAAGGGATTACTCATTATACAGTTTTCAGATTATAACTGTTAGAAAATGTGATTCAGAGGAGTTCTTTACAGATTTTTTGGAAGATGGCTATTATTTTTTTTTTTACTGTAATGATAAAATAACACGACCAAAATACATTTTCTGAATATTATAGTAGGAAAGCAAAGGTCATAGATCACATTATGTATCATTTTTTTGCAGACTGGGTTTAGCAGGATACCTCCTGTCTTTCTACTTCTACTTTGTAGAGGCAAAAGTTGATTTTTAACAGATATTTACTAGTGTTGAATAAATCAATACCCAATATTGAATGTAACATTTACCTTTAAAGGAGCACAAACTAATAAAATAATATAGTCCTTTTACTTGAAAAGTTCAAAATAGTAAAAAGACATAAATGTTTTGTTAGAGCCAATATGTAAATCTACTAAATTCTCTTGAATTCTTGCTAATCCTGCACCATGGATAAGTGTCTAAGCTGGGTAATATTTACCTTCTCGATCTGATTTTTTATTTCTATCTCCCCCATTCTTTGCTATTAATGATGCTTACCATCAGCCAATTTTTTTTTTTAAGATTTTATTTATTCCTTTGAGAGAGAGAGAGCGCACAAGCAGGAGGAGAGGCAGAGGGAGAGGGAGAAGCAGGCTTCCCACTGAGCTGGGAGCTAGCCATGGGACTTGATCCCAGGACCTGGAGATCATGACCTGAGCCGAAGGCAGACGCTCAACCATCTGAGCCACCCAGGCACCCCAACCATCAGCCATATTTTTAAAACAGACCTGTTATTCCCAGATCAAATTGGGATTATATGTGATTATATGTGATTCTTACAGACTCCCAGAAAAAAAAATAAGTGCTCTAGAATTTGGAAGATCAGATCCTATTTAAAAAGCAACTGATATTGAAAAATTTGACATCACTGTAACTAAATTAAGTTCTTAAGCAATATTAAAAGACCGGTTTCCTTTGCTCATTTGAATTTAACTCTTTTGTTATTAATTATAACTCTCATTAGCATTTTGGGAAATCTACCATCATCACTCTGTAAAGAAAAGGACAAGTATCTATTGATATAGTTAGCAAATACTTACATTAACTTAAACTTGGATAATTAAGTTAGGAGATTTTAAATATTTAATTGATTAAAAATAAAAACAAGCCAGCAAACAACCCTCTTCACCCCTCAAAAGAAGTAAAGAAAAGGAATGGAGAGAGAAGAAAAGGAAAGAAAACTCTTGACCTTTTCCATTGTGGTAATTCATCTTAACAAATTCTTTTATAGATGTTTAATATTCTATTTTGCTAATTTGTTCTTATATATAATTGACCATATTTTATGCCCAAGGAAAGCATTTTTTTTTCTTTTTTTGGATGGGGTTAGGTCATTTTAATAAAAGCTATAAATAAGTTATTAAAATTTGCATGCTTGTCTTCTCTAGTTAGGAGAACAAAAGGGGTAGAAAATAAATCTGTGATATGAATGAGAAATGATCAAGCACAGTATTTTGCTGTGGCTTACTAGTCACAGAAATCTGCATTATAGCCCATTAATAAGAGGTTCTTATAACATTAGAGGACTTGAATTAACATTGCATACCACATAAAAAAGACTAAACATGCAAAAATGTTTGCTAGGTTCAATCACCAGGAGGCTTGACTACAAAAGGATATAAAAGTTTCAGATTTCCTAAATGGGTGACATCATTATATTAGTAAAACCATAGCTTCCAGATAAGAACATTTTATGTCCAGGAATGAGAAGAGGTTATATCAGCTATTCATTCCAGCAACAGTTATTTCCCATCTGTGCTTCCCAACCTTGCCTTTTTAAAAAATTTTATCATTTTGACCTATTTGAAGTATCATCTCCTAACCGTAGAGATTCTGATTCAGGAAGTCCCAGGCTGCAACATGGGAATCTTTTTAAACCACTTTTGTGGCCACCTCCCCGATGTGTCCACCACCTGAAGTAATTTTTTAAATTAAGCAAATTTGGGAAACACTACTACGCTAATCACAAGAGATGGGAAGCAAAATGCTATCAACTCTGCTTTGTTTCTAAACTCTAAACCAAACGAAAACATCAATGTACATAGTTTTATTAGCTTCACTACAAGATTCAAAATACTTTAACAAGGATATTTATGAAGGACACACATCCAGAAAAAGTTCTCATATATATCATCCTCACCTTTAATAAATGAAGAAAACACTTGTTTTTATTAATCACTTTATATAACATAATTATCTTTTACACAATTTATCTACAAGACAAAGTAGAATAAGACATTTCCTAATTGTTATCAGAGACAGAAATCAAAGAAGAAATACATATATAATGAGAAATTTTATAATATTCATTTGACAGTCCTTGTATGTCCAAATAAGACATTTTTTTTTCCAGGACTACCACAAGTATAATTATAATTTAAATCTGTAATGAGATATTTCACATCAAATGGCAAGTCCAGGCTGCAATCTCCAAGCACGTGGTGGTTTAGTCCAAAAGCATGAAAAGAAATGGTATCTTATGCAAAAAGTGTAACTTATGCATCTTATGTAATCCTCTTTATGACCAAGAACTAACTTCAAGAGTAGTAGAAAAATCCACAAAAGCTTAAAAACAAAGTGGCTTCTAAATAAGAATTCAAACAAATAGGTGTTGAAAAATGAACTCTTCCATTGCCTTTATGTTTTTTTCTTTATATTCCCTATTTTTAAAGTTAAAAATGAGGTTACTTAGCTAATTCATCAGTCAATAGTAATTCAGTGGATCATTTTCATCATCAGACTATTATAGGGCTGAGAGGGCTGATCCTTATCAACTTGTTTGGTTTCAAAGTTAGGAATCACAGGAAAAGGGCCCCCCCAAAAATGTTTTATTCAACACGTTGGATCCACTTAAGTGGTCCGTCCATATAGCCTTAAGCCACTGTTCTTTTGAAGTGAATTCGATTCACATAGTGGGCAAACTTATTATTCAACGCCTTAAAATTAGCTTTAGAACTGGGAATCTCCAAAATATACACCTTAGTTGTTTACATGTATTCTTCATGGATGGACTAAATAATCTAGGGATTTTTTTTTTTTTTTCATGCTCTTTGTGTCTAACAGCGTTCCTGATTCGGCCAAAGCCCTGTTAAAATTTTTCCCACCTACTATCCTGGCCACACCAACTATGAATGCACATCTCACAAAGCCGCCCTTCAAAATGCAGAGAATTAAAAGCAAGGAAGTAAAGACTTTTCTAAATATAGTCCCATCATGTTTATTTTACTCTCATCTAGTAGGTCACTAGCGGCAGCCAGCAGCTACGGACACTTAGAAGCATCTCCCAAAGCAAAACCAAGGGGCGCTTGACAGCTACGCCATCTACCTGTTGAACCTGGGCCACTGCTCTCGACAACTGTCAGCTTCTTCGACCTAGAAATGCTAATAATGATCGATTTTTTTTTTTTTTTTTAAACAAAGTTGTTTGCTAACCTTTCTTCCCACCCTCTGTTTCTTTCGGGTCATTTCTGCCGGGCGGGGGGAGCCGCGGGATTCGCGAGCTCCTCGGCCCGGCTGGCTGCAGCAGCGATGCGGGGCGGGCCAGGCCGGGTGGCAGCCTGGCCGCCGCGGGCAGAGCTCGTCACAGGCCGGGGCGCAGAAGCACGGAGCCTCCTGGCCCCGATTTTACTCACCTACCTTCCGCAGGGGCGATGAGGCGCGTGCCGGTCGCCCAGCTCGGGGACCCAGATCCGAGGAGTAGGGAAGCAGCGGCGGGACGCGAGGGGAACGTAAGAAGGAGAACGTATTACCTAAGCCGGGGATGCGGAGCGAAGGAGGCTGCAGCCTTTCCCTCCAGAAACGGAAGAGGCGGGGGAGGAGGAGGAGGAGGAAAATGCGGCTGCGGCGGAGGTGGCCGGCGCGGAGGCGAGCGGAGGGGCTGTAGGCGTCTGGCCGCGGGCTTAGCGCGACGGCGAGGGGCCGGGAGCTCGGCGGAGGCCGCCCGAGGGGGAGGCGAAGCCGGCCGTCGTGCTCGCTGCCTGGCTTGGCGGTGGCTCGCAGACCTCAGCATCCGCGGGGCCGCCGCCCGCTCGGCTCCCCGGGGACCGCGGCGTGGCAACGCGGTGACGCCTCGAGGCTCCCGGGGCGGGCGAGGGCATCCCACGCCCGCCGGGGCCAGGCCTCTGCGACGTCACAAATGGAGCTTGATGATTCAGGCGAGGGGTGCTAGGAAGCAAAGGGCTCCCGGGTCACCTCATCCACTGTTTCTGTTCTTTCCTTGTAGCCGCCCACGAATTCGCTTGTAAAATCTTCCTCCTCCATTTTCCCGTCCACTTCTTTGGAGATTAAGGGTTTGGCAGACGAGTTGGCAGCTGGGAAGATAAGACTTCCTGCCCGTGGCATTCGGGTCCCATTATTCTAATAGAAATGTCAAGTGTGCTGGTTGTTCAAACCACAGCAGTGTCTCCTGGGCGCTTGCCTTATAAGGTGTGGGCCTAGGGCACCTTGACAGAAGCACATCATGGGTAGGGAACTTCTCTCTCTTCAGCCCTTTAAACTGTGGCATTCAGTATACCTTAAAAATGGTTTGGAATCGGGGGGAGGAGTCCAAGTTTTGAAAAAACCACATAAGATTTTGAGTAGAAGGGGCCTGTCAGCTAGCTGGCCCAGCAAGTTGAATGTTGTTTGTGGGTGCATTGGGCTTTCTGCACATCCTTTCCCTTCCTGGCACGCCTAGGAAATGATCAAGTCTGCAAGGCCCCAAATAGGGTAAACGAAAGAGGCTGCTGCTGCGGGAGTAACTGGAGGGCCAGGGAGACCAGTATCTATATACCTGTAACTCATTCCATGGCAAGAAATTGGGGAAATGTTGTAAAGTTCCAGCTGGCAGGTTTTCTTATCTGTATTTTCCCCAACTGCCCAAGACTCCCTTGAGTTACCAACACTTGGTTGTTGAGGAACAGTGAGGAACTACCAAGACGGGAGACTGGGGCAATACCCGACTTGTCAGACTCCAGGAAATGGTGCTTGAAACTTCACATCACCCAGACTGAATTCATCTTTCTGCTCCCATTCTGCTTCTGTGGTCTCTAGCTTGAGAGAACTCAAGTTCTTTTGCCTGGAGGATTCTCTAGCTGCTATAATAATAGCTAGCAGCACCATGCTAGACGCTTTTTGTGTTTTATAGCTGTTCATTCTTAGGTGAATCCCGTGGTAGGAATTACTGTTATCTCCACTTAATAAAGAATAGAACGGACTTTGAGAAGTTAGATAATTTATTTAAACGTGTATATGTTGTGAGGCCAAGTTTGAACCCAGCAATATGACTCCAGGATTCACATTATATGACTTATTCATGCTTTAAAAACCTTTCTCCAACACTAAGTTTGAGAAGGATTAAAAGATATAAATTTTTTAGAAGTTTTCAAAGTTTGGGGCGCCTGGGTGGCTCAGTCGGTTAAGCGTCGGTCTGCCTTTGCCTCAGGTCATGATCCCAGGTTCCTGGGATGGAGCCCCAACAGGGGCTCCCTGCTCAGCAGGAGAGTCTGCGTCTCTCTCTGCCCCTCCCCCTGCTCTTGCACATTTTCTCTCTTTCTCTCTCAAACAAATAAATAAAATCTTAAAAAAGAAGTCTTGAAAGTTCAAGGAGAAAATATAACTGAATTGCTTTTAATCTGAAAGTAAGCTTGGAACAAAGGGCAAAATTGCAAAGGAAAAATGACAGACTTGACTATAGAATTTTTAATTTCTTTCATAAAAAAACCCCCCATTAAATTAAAAGACAAGTAAAAACTACCAAAAATTTGCAATATATTTGAGATAAGAGAGTAACATTTTTTTAAATAGAGGTCTGACAAATAAAGTATAAATATCCTGTTAAAAAATGGACAAAAATGTAAATTAGTGAAGTCATGAAAGAAAAGTGTAAATGGCCAAACACATTTTTAAGGGAGGCCAAAACTTAAAACGCTAATGCACCATGAAGTTGACTGAGAATAAAAGCTAGTGATTTAGGCCAGGGACCCTTGAGGCAGGATGCGTGGCAAACGACCAAACTCAGTACTGAGAAGGACATAAATTACTTCAGTGTTTCTGGAGGGCAATTTGGCCAAATGCAGTAAAAGCTTCAAAAATGTTCAAACCCTTTGACTCAAAAACTGCATTTCTGGGAATTCATAATACAGGAATTGACAACTATTTTCTGTAAAAGCCCAGATAGTAAATACTTTAGGCTTTGCAAGCCACATATGTCTCTGTTGTTTTTCTTCTTTGTGTATGTGCTTTTGTTTTTAAAACCTTTTAAAAATAGGAGAGCTATTAGCTTGAGGGCTGTAGAAAAACAGGCTGTGGCCTGAAATTGGCGTGAGGGCAGTGATGTGTGCAAAGAGTAGACTACAAAAAAGTTCATCACAGTGTATTTGGTAATAGCCAAAAGAGAAAGCACACTTAATGTCTGAGGATAGAAATTAGTTACAGGGGTGCCTAGGTGGCTCAGTCGTTAAGCGTCTGCCTTCGGCTCAGGTCACGATCCCAGGGTCCTGGGATTGAGCCCCGCATGGGTCTCCCTGCTCTGTGGGAAGCCTGCTTCTCCCTCTCCCACTCCCCCTGCTTGTGTTTCCTCTCTCCCTGTGTCTCTCTCTGTCAAATAAATAAATAAATAAAATCTTTAAAAACAAAACAACACAAAAAAGTTGCCAAATGATATTTGTTGCATGAGATAGTATTCATGACTTACTACATGGAAAAATACAGTTAAGAAAACCGTATCTATGTTACATCCCAAATACAACATAATCCTGTGTATGTATGCAGAGAAAAAGATATGGAAAGATGTAAACACACTAAGCTGTTGATAGTGGTCTTGGGTAGGGGTGACATTGTAGATATTTGGTTTTCTCTTACGTGTGTTCTTCCTATAATGGATATGTATTCTTTTGTAATAAGCAAAAATATAAGAAAATTCACTTAGGCAACAACAACAACTTAGGTTGTCAATTTGAGAAGATCTGCCCTGAATTCACTCTCCCAGATGGAGCTGTTTGCTGTCTCTTCTGTGCTCCTCAAATGCATAATGGTTTTTTGAGTACCATTATTTACTTAATTAGAGAATGGTTAATACCATCATTTAGTTAAGCATTGCTCTTTTATTGGATCAGGGTTCCTGATATTTCACTATTGTAAGTATGCTGGTTATTTTCAGCTAGCTCTCCGCCAGATCCATTTTCCATCCTTCTCTGCTAGATTCTTGTCTTTCTGAAGGCAGAACTTTCATTAGCTATTTTCTCTGGGCTCTCTTGCCAGCTGGCTTCCAGGTAAGGTTGACCAATGGGCGATACCGACAATAGGTTGGAGGGTGGAAAAGGAGAAAAGTCGGGGTATTTATTCCTACCTCTTTTCCCAGTTTGGACCTCTAAGTCAAGGTGGCTCTCCCTTCACTGCTCTGCTGATTTGATCTCCTCCCCTTATCCCTTCAGTCCTAGCGATGGTCACAGCCTCTTAGGTTGCAAGAGCCTGGGTACCTTCACGTCTCTTATCATCTCCATGTCATGTTATATCCCTTCACCCTACTGTAAACCTAATCCAGAACTTCTGTAAATAGTCCCTTCAATACAATCTCTTCTGCTGAGACATCTGAGTAGAGGTTGGTTCTTGTTAGGACAGACTGATCATATTAAAGAACACTGGTGAACCTCATAGAACACGAATCTTTTATTTCTTAAGTTACAGGCCTGGATATGCTCAGATTTTATATCTGAGATTTGGACTATTTGCAAGGTAATTATAGAAAGATTTACAAGTTTCCTAAAGCAGGAATTTAAAATTACTGTGAGGCCAGTGTTGGGGAATGTAATGCTTTGACTATTGTTCCCACTTCTCTAGTAGTTTCTGAGAAATAACAGTCCATTGCATTTTATTGAAATCAAATAGTACAACATAGTGGTGTTCAAACTTTTATGTTTTCAGTGGAATCTTTTTTAAATGTTTCGTGTTTTAAAAGATTTTATTTATTTATTTGATAGAGAGAGACACAGCACGAGAGAGAACACAAGCAGGGAGAGTGGGAGAAAGAGAAGCAGGCTTTCCGCTGAGCCGGGAGCCCTATGTGGGGCTTGATCCCAGGATTCTGGGATCATGACCTGAGCCGAAGGCAGATCCTTAACTGACTGAGCCGCCCAGATGCCCCTCAGTGGAATCTTTAAGAAAATATTCTTATATTGCCTCTAACAAATAAATAAAAGTCAGATGCAGAGTTAAAGGAACCTTCCTCATTTTAAGGCATACTCTGGGACCTCCCTACAGAACCCCAGAGCTCTTTGGAACACGGTTTGGAAACACAGATTTAAAGAGTCCAAGAGTTCTAGAAGATTTATCCTTCCAGTATCTATTGTACTTCTTTAGGTTAGACTCCTAGAATTACATAGTCTACAATATGACTTTATCAATTGCCCTTCAAAACACTCCTCGCTGTGAGTGATGTTGCCTATCTCATTACTGCATCTATTATCAAATACACACAAAAAACCCTTCCTAATTTTTCATCATAGTCTTAATTCCATTTTTATTACTGCTGAGAGAATTTTTCCCATGTCTATTTGCTATTCGTGTTTCCTTCTCTCTTCTGCCTTCCCCCGCTTCTTTAGCCACCTTTGCATGTTTGGCCATCTCTCTATTCATTCAATATGGATTAATTCCTTGTAATGTATCTGGGCACAATGCTAACGGGTATAAGCAGTAAACAGTATAGTTATGCTTCTGCACTCCGGGAGCTCAAAACTAGCAATATTTTAGTCTTAGTATTTATCTTGTTTAAGTCCATTGGCAATATGTTAAGAATGGCAACCCTTTGGGGCGTGGCTCAGTCATTGGGCATCTGCCTTTAGCTCAGGTCATGATCCCAGGGTCCTGGTCAGTGGGGAGCCTGCTTCTCCCTCTCCCACTCCCCCTGCTTGTATTTCCCTCTCTCGCTGTCTCTCTCTCTGTCA